CCTGTGCATCACACTATACTCTACATAAGCCTTGAATGTTTGTTATGTATTGTATTTGTTGAAGTAAAGTTTTTTTAATTCAAACAATCCTGGGCTATAAACAGTGATTTACCAGTGGGTCCAGCAGAGGTTGCATCCTACTGTGGTTTCATGATATTAGTAAATATATATTCATTTCAATACAAAGGGGAAAGCTAAAGACCCCACCTTGCACTTGTGCCGCTGCCTCCATGTCTCCATTCATTTGTGGTCGTTTTGTCTCGTATCTACAAAAGCAACAAAAATCAAGTTATAAAACATCATCTCTCATTGTCCTGAACTTTAATACAAAAATAAAACACAATCTTTTACATGCATGAGTCCTGATTGGGTCCTACAGCAGAATGAGCTTTATTTGTAAACTACAGGACTTTATTAAAATGTCGTTTTTACGTGTTTAATATTCATGTGATTTTGATTCCACTCAATAAAAAGCAGTCCTGACTGCGATCCTGAAGTGAAAGTGTCGTTTCCAAGTGGTGGATGTTAAATTCGCCTCGAGATAATGGTTTATGATCATTACACCGCCCCTTAAACGTTTACGCTACATGGTGAGACATAGGCTATCGCTTGTGACGGCTTCAAATCTCAAATAACACTGCGCAGGGATTCATCTAGCACCAACTAGCTACGACACCCGGAGTCTCTTCCGTCGCGCTAATTTCTCCAAGCGGAATTTGGCGCATTAGTGCCGTCCTTACTCCGGGACTAAAGTATCGTAGACGCACGGCAGCGACCATTTTCCTTCGCCCCGGTCTGCTCGGTAATGGAGGCTTTTCTGTCGGAGCGGAGGTTGGGGAGGATCCACGGAAGGAGGAAGCGAATGGACGGACAGGCAGCTGTAGGCAACCAGCTGACCACGGACGGGGGATATGCTTTCGGTCTCCGACGAGGGGGAATGGTGGCCTGGAAGCACTGCAGCCAAATGCGCCACTCGGCAGAGGCGTCTCACCACCGTTGGAAGCGGATCTAGCTCCGCCGTGCAAACCTATAATCTCCCCTTCAACTGTTTCACTCCGGCTGGAGCTATAAAGTCGAGTTAATGTTCGGTTTCTTTCATTGGGTGTGTTTTAAAGAGTATTCACACTCGGTTTTAGTCCGATTATTAGCGTTTAATGAGGGAATTCGAGGGCAAAACATAGTGCATTCTTCAGCGAGGCGTAGCCGAGCTGCGCTCCATGATGGCGGCTGCTCGTTGTTCATCGTGTCCTTGATGGCCCCAGCTCAGTGTGGCGTCCACCGTGTGACCCAGCTCCATGAAAACTACTGATAAATCCATTTCTACAACCACAGATCTGATTCTACGTCAACCCGGAGTCGTTTATATGTCAAATCTGTAATATTTCATTTTAATTTCCACATGAATAACGGGAACCTGGGGCACTACATGGCCAAGGACGCTTGGCACGACAAATGGACTTTAAATCGGGCATTTCTCCTGCACACCCAACATTTAGAAACGTTCCTGTTTACTACAAAACTTAACTCATTAACATTTAATAACAAACCCGTTTACTAGACCAGGACCACGTTTACGGGATAAATCGTTTAAAACGGTTATTAAACAGTTTTAGTTTCATGTCGCGCTAAACGAGATTAAAAACGTTACAAATTAAGCCGAGGTTTGGTTTTTGGAACAAATCGAGGGTGAAATGCACGGTGGTGGGTTGGAGGGACCTGCGGAGGCACAGGAAGAAAGAAGAAAATGGAAAATATTGCTCACGGTGTAACGCTAGCGCCACGACATTACGGTCTGAAACGTGTATTTTAACGGTAGCTCTTAAGTTTCCGCGCGGATAAAAATGCGTTAAAATCGAGAATTAAACCTCCATGAAGGAAACGCGTCAACAACCGAGGCTGAGCGGCTTCACTGGCGCGACAAACAGCTCCAGGTCCGCCATGCTTCAGCTCTGCTCGACGAGGAAACCTACCGTGACAAGGTCCAATGGCGCACTGCAAACACGGAAAAACGGAGCCCGGACCTAAAAGCCCAGGGCGGTGCAGACTCCCCTTCCCTTCGACCCCGAGCGGCAGCACAAGCGAGGAGGAGAAAGGCGGGTTCTCCGTGGCTCGGTCGTCGGCGGTTCTAGGGGGTTAGCTCGGCGTGAGAGAGAGAGGGGGAGAGAGAGGGCGAGTGTGTGCACGGTGAGATATTAAACCGAGATCCCTGATGGCTAACCGAGAGAGGCGGCTGGCTGTTCCGCCGACAGCCGCATGGAGGTCTCGGCGCGGAAACCACCGCTGAGTCCCCCCCACGCGGATAACCCGGTTCCCAGCGCGAATAGTCGAGTGTTAGCGGGTGGAATTAGCACAACACGACCGCTGGGTGATGATTTTTTAACGAAAATATCACGTTTACCTCCGGGTCTTAGGCGCAGCCTGTTCCCCGCTGTAGAGGACAAGAAAATCGGGTATGGCCGACCTAGCTCGTCCGTGCTCTGCCACCGCGGTTGTTTTCTTTCGCTGCTACAAAGGCTCACCCGACCGCTGCGTTTTATTCGAAATAAAACAAACATCAAACGCGTATTTTGCGGGGTTTTCGTACATTTTCTGGTGGATTTTCCGCGCACTCTCGCCGTGTTATGACACCGAGCGGCCGCTGAGCTGGCTTACCTGTCTCTCGGCGTGAGTCTCGGCGTGGTTGTGGAGGAAGAAGGGGAGGGTTGAACGACAGCCAGCACTGCGCCGTCGGTCCCGGTCTCCGGTCCCCGCAGAGATGGTCCTTCCCCCCCGCCTCCATTTCTCTCGCCGTCCCCCTCCACTCAGCGCGCACCAGCTCCTCTCCAGCCAACCATTTCGCCACGCCGGGACGTCCATACTATTTTCCCCCCGTTGACTCCGAACCCAACCGTGGGCGATTATTCTTTTCACTCCCGGAGAGCGACCCTTGCCTCATCTCCAGGCCGAACTCTGCAGCATATTATCAGGAAAGTTTCATGGAAGCCAAACGTGTGCCAGTGATGATAGAATTCAACGCCTCACCCCACACACTCATACTTAGTTAAAATCAGAATTGGTATATATATATTTTTTGAAGTTTATAATCTCCATGAATCAATGATGAGCATGTCGCACACAGCTCCACAGCCTCCGTGTCTTTGCACATTGCTCGATCCCTCTTTGAGGAAACTCTTGCGGCTGTTTGACAGCTTCATTTTCACGCAGCGTGTTTTTTCTTGTCAACTCCACCTTGTGTGTTTGTGGGCGGATCCCTCGCTCGTCCAATCCCGTCCCTCCCACCCCGGCTCCGCAAATGACTCCCAGCCACTGGGCCTCGTTAAACCCTGCTGCCTTCACCGGCTGTGGGAAAACTCAACAGGAGGAACACGAATGGAAACTGTGGAGATCCCCCTGACAGGTTCAGAAGTAAATAAGCATTTCAGAGGTGCATCCGTCCAAACCTGCACAACAGACGTGTTAACAGAGGAAAAGCAAAACACACAAAGTTATGTTATGATGATTTAAATGGGTATTGTCTTAGGATGAAGTACATTGACCAATAAAAGGATGATAGGGAATTGCAGAGCAGGCCCAATGTGCACAGGCCGATAGGGGCTGAAGAGGTCATGGGTCCCAAACAGGCTCAGCCACAAGAATAAAGTCAATTGAAGTAATGACTATAGGAAAACCTCTGGGAAATGTAAAACAACAACAAGATATGCAGAATAACCAGAGAGTCGCAAAATGGCTACAAAGACAAGTAATAAAGCACAACAAAGAGACATTATATGACTACTATGATGTGTAATTTCTATCAATGTACAAACCTCAGCTCTTTACTGTAAATTATTGTTTTGCCATTTTAAGACTTTATTGCAGATTCTTGGTATTTTTTTCCCACCTGTTTTAGATTTCAAAAATTGTTATTTCAAATCATTCATTCATTTACAATGTATTTTTTCTCAGTGACCATTTACACATTCATAGAATGCATTCATTATGTGAGGAGCCCTCATTTGTGACAACAATCATGTTAAACGTTCATAAAACTGAATAAGAAGCACCTGCAATAAACTCATTATTAAACTAAACAGGAAGAAATAACACAGTAATGATCTGACAATTGAATATTTCTCGTTTTATGCTGTAACATATATTCTCTGATGTGAATATTTATTTTTTATTTTCCTAATTGCTTCTTAACCTGATAATGTAAATTAAATAAAGTAAATATCCAGGCTCACATTACCACTGGAAGCTCTATGATGTTGACTTGTAGAGTAAATTTCTATTTTCAGAATAAGGGTATTAGAGGATCCATTATGTTTTCCAAAGACGAGTACTGAAAGCTGGAACTTACTTGACAACATTGAATGCAGCATAAAGCTGAGTTGCAGGCCTCCTCTCCTGTTGCTTGCAGAGACAAGTGGTAACAGTGGCCTTTGTGAGTGATGTCAAGACATGTTGTCTGTTACATTCAAGAAGAAAAAAGCACTATAAAGTCTGTTTTATTTTTTATTTTTAATAAAGTGTAAATCCAAAGGATGTACAGTGTTTCAAGCACGCAAACACATGATAGGCAACACTAAAGGCTTCACGAGATACATTTACAAAGGAGTTTGTCCCTGATTAAATCATCAGTGCAACAGTTGGCTGAAACAATCACATCCACCCATTCCTGAACATCCCTTTTTATCATAATAAAGAAGTTAACACTTTTAAAATCAAATCTAAGTGCATTAAACATAGTCACCTAAAGAGAAGTTATTCAGTAAACCATACATAATATATGAATCAAGGCAAACTTGAGCAACACTGCTTAAAACATGTTTGAGAATAATTAGTGGAGAGTTGAATATTTGCAAGAGTGGCAGGAATCCCACATAAAGTCATTATTTGTGAGCATGTATATGGCTGAATGGATGAAATCTGCATCACTTCAATGAACATTAGGTGAAGTTATACCAGCACAACATGGGCAAATCTACACGGAGAAGCACTGGGAATCACTTTGAAGGTACTGTATACTGCAGTTTYAAAAAAAAAAAAAATACAATTGAATAACAAATTAATATACCTCACATCCTCAAGGAAAATATCTAGAGGATTTTGCACAATTCAAAATATCCCTCACTCAGTCTTCAAGTAAATAAAGAGGAATTAACAGCACCTTAAGTTAAAAAAAAAAAACACAAAAAAGAAGCATTTTAAATTAATTCCACATGAACACACAAAATATGGAAAAAAAGAGATTATAGCACATGTATTAATTCCTTGTAATGACAATATGGATTGTAATAGTTTTCTACTATGGTCAGAAAAGTCAGCTGTGGGAATAAGGTATGAAGACTAGGACTGTGAGGTAATTTCCCTTAAAGGTAAACATTTTTTATAACAGAACAGTTTGAAACTGCAAAGAGTTGTTTACATCTATGCATGTACATATTTGTTATATCCAGTCTTGCTTGTAATCAAGAACAGACTTCACATAACAAGTTTGTGATTTGAATATTAATCTTATGCCGATGGTTTATGGCAGCGGGGACTCATTGTACACATCCTCCCCAGGTTCCTCCTCTAACACCACTTTGGCATCATCTGCATCCAGCTGCAACACAAACATATCTGGTTACAACACAGGAACCTGCATGTCCAATAACACAATAACGTGTGTCTGAGCTTATGGGGTGACATACAAATATGGAGAGGTACTTACACATTTCATCTCCTTGACAGAGAAGAGCCTGCCGGTCATTAACATGCGCAGAGGGATGGTGAGGATGAGAACGAAAGGCAGAGCCAGAGAGAAGGGACTGATCTTCACCACCCACAGGATAGCCAGACACACAAGCTGGATCAGAGTGAAGAGGTGCATCCGCAGTGTCTTAACCTGCACAACAGATGGAGGAGCGTGTTAGCATATGAGCTAGACATGAGAAAATGCAAAATACGCTAAGTTATGTTGGGGTCATTTAAATGGGTATTGTCTTAGGATGATGGGAATTACGGAGCAGGCCCACTGTGCACAGGCTGAGGGTTTGAAGATGCCCAAACAGAAACAAAATGGCCACGAGACAGTCAATAGAAGTAACGACTACAAAAAAACATCTGGGAAATGAACACAACAAAGACACATAATATGACTACTGAGTCTCGAAACAATCACGGAGACCTGAAACAACCACAGGGAGACGCAAAATGAGCACACAGAGACACAGAGTCATTACTAAAAGACACAAAACAACCAGAGACAGACACACACTTTTGGGTTTAGGTGTCTCTCTCCTAATCTTGTGATATTCGTCCACTGACGAAATATAATGAAATATATTAGAAATATAATGCAAACCAGGACAATGGTAAAACAAACCGAAACCTTTAAATTGAAATACATGAATCAAGACCTATCTGACACAACAATTGAGGACAGGGCTATTGGACGTATTGGACGTGATTGTGTAAGTTATAAGTTTACAGTGTTTTATTGTAAGTGCAAACATCTGAAACTGACATTGTATTTTTAATAGTATCTCAAGACACCAGGTTGATGATCAGAGTCAACTGTATTTGGGGAAGTTGCATACCTTGGTGGCATAGGCATCAGAGGGATGGTACTTCTTCGGTGTGATCAGCAGCAGTATCCTGTCCCACATCTGGATTCCACTCAAAGAGGTGATACCCATGTAGAGGAAGATGCCGAACAAGGCTGTCATAGGAATCATCTTCAGTATAGGCTCCATGTAAATAGAAACACCTGGGGAGAGCACAGAGAGAGAATGACGATTCAAGGAATCTGGTAATTTATTCTCATCCTACGGTGTACGTGTCTGTGGAGGGCAGCCCTTACCGACCAGGACGGCCACAAGAAGACCACTAATCCTCTGCTCAACCACTTTCTCAATCTCCGGTTTCGGGCCCTTAGTCATGACAGTTAGAGCGTTGGCGTGGGTGACGGATCGCACGGTGGCAGCACTCAGCCACGGCACCCCGAAAATAGAGGAGATTCCTCCCATGGTGACCAGGAGGAGCAGATCAAAGTGGAAACCAGATCCTTTCACCATCTTCCTCTCAGGTTTGCTCACAATCAGGCTGATAGTCCGCAGATATAATTGACAGAAACAGAAATTCAATCTCTTGTTTTTCTTACACAAGGTTGTAACAATGCCATTTATGGCGTCACTCACGTAGTAATCTGGGACTCGAGGAAGATGAGGATGAAGACGAGCAGTGCAGGTACACAGCAGGCGCCCATCATCCAGATGGGGAACTTCTTCTTCTCTCCTGTGGGGTTGATGAACCAGCCTCTGACTTTGGGGTTGGTCACTTGAACACCTTTTGGCACAACCAGTTTCTGAGGAGACAAGATATTAACTCAGAAAGACCAAAGAAGACATTTCCCCTAATTTTGTACCGATTCAGTGTAAATTTCTGAGCACACAGCGACAGGAAAACCTAAAATGTTCCATTTTATGTGCAGGAAATGTAAACCAGCATAATCTCGGTATAAAACAGGTTTACTATTAATGCAGGATTGTAAGTCAATTGTTTTGTGTTTGTTGATGCTTGCTTGATTTTTAGGTTAGAGTGTATTTACTTATGTGTCAAAAGATATAAGGTCACCGTGACCTTTGACAACTGAAATCTGATCAGTTCATTGTTGAATCAAATTCTCAATTGGTCAAAATTTAAAGAAATTCCCTGAAATCAGACTTGAGATATCATGTTCAACAGGCCAAAAACATGCTTCATGAGGTCACCTTTGACCATCAACCCTCCAAATCTAATCAGATCTGTGAGTGTAAGTGAACATTTGGGCCAAATTTAAAAGGATTTTCTCGAGGCAGTGTTAAGATATTGTTTTCACTAAAAAGGGTTTTGCGAAGTCACTGTGACCTAGACCATAAACCTTCGACCAAATCTGATCAGACCATCTGTGAGTTTAAATGAATTTATGAACCAAATTTGAAGAAAAATTCAGAAAGGTGACAGATGGACGGACAACCACTGGCTGGATAATTAAAAAAAAAAGTTAAATGAATATTTTTATGGCAAGAGACATATAAATGGATAAAAAACATTTGATAAACTCTAAAAACACTACAGTGTAGGGTCACATCAACAAATCTAGATGAAAATCTCATATCCAAAATTTTGATCTTTAAATCCAAGAATAATGAATTATTACAAAATCTTTGTCTTTTTATTTGTCCTCGATGACAACTA